TTTAAATACATTCAATTTAAACTAAATGAACATGAGAAATTTGTCTTTGTCAGTTAATGGAAATAAAATAAAATAATTTTTTTATATTTTATTCTGTTTATTTTATGTCAAGTAACAAATGTTTTATGGTTTACATTTTTTTTGTTTGTTTTTTGTCATTTTTATTAGTTTTTACATATATTTGTAATTGGTCTATATAGTTTTATATTTTTTTATTTCAGTTCTTTTTAATACACCAAGTTAAACTAAATGAAAATGAGATGTTGCTTTGACGACTATCTTGGCAGCTTTTATTGCATTTGATATCTTATTCTACACACTGTTTTAGTTTTAGTTAACTGGGGCCATGTAAGATGATGATTCAGCTGATTTTTTCATGTAAAAGCTGCAGGTGAGGTCAGATTTGTGATGCATCAGTTTGTAATCGTAACATTGGGTCCGTTCTCAGCGAGTCCGGCGGGTGATGTCCGCCATGGTGTACCCACGAGAAGAGACACTGGAGCGGCTGACGCAGGACGAGATCGTGCTGAACACTAAAGCAGTGATGCAGGGTTTGGAGACGCTGCGAGGGGAACACGCTCAGCTCCTCAACTCCATCCTGGACTGCGCTCAGCCGGCCGTCGCGCAGGAGAAATCCAGCCTGCTCCGCAAGAGCCTGGAGGACATCGAGCTGGGACTGGGAGAGGCGCAGGTATCTGAATCCCACCAAAGTCTGTGACTCAGTTTGAACTCAGAATATCCAGAACTGGTTGTTTAGATTGCATTCATTTGACGAATGTTAATTATGCTAATATTGGGCTGTCAAAAAAAATTTGGAATTTCAAATATTCGTCGAATTTAAATTAAAAATCCACATTCGAATGCAAAAACGTTGCATTGGAATTTTAGGTGTGCATCCGGCAGCTTTATCAGCGGCGCACGAGATGCGATGAGGATGTAAGTGTCGTTGCATTATAATGTTTTTGTTAGGATATCCAGTTGAAGCCACTAGATGCGGCGCTGCTGCGGTGTTCATTAAAAATATTGCAGGAAAAGAGAACATCAATGCGGAGAAGATCTTGTTTATTTCAAATCTGAAACCAAGCCGTTCACACAGAATGCATATTTATCGCATTTTCGAGAGGGATATCTATCAGCGTTGCACTCGCATCTCGCACAAAAGAGCCGCATGTTTAGAAAACCATGTTAATGCAAAATTAATGCAAGTTCAACTTTTTAAAAACATGTCTCAAGACGTTATGCCGGTTTTCCCCATCCCGCGGCATCTCATGTTTTTAAATGAAGAAAATACTCTTTGTGATTGATTTTCGGTCATTTGTATTAAACTATGCATGCATACATGATGCTGTTTTGTTTCTAATTGTTTAAGCAACTTTAATTATTAACATTATTTTAAACATTATGCTCTTTTTTTTAAAGATAGTCATGTTATTTTATTATGCTTTGAAGAAACGTGTATAATATTTTGCTCGATGCGCCCTCTTGTGGCCTCAGGAGAGAAGCCAAAAGCTTTTCTTCACCCTAACTGAAATTATGCATTTTAAATTCGAATATAATTCGAATATTGATCATATTTAAGTACAAAATTCGAATTGAGTTTTTCAGCCATTTTGACAGCCCTAACTTGTACAAGTGATCAGACTTGATTTTTGCATTGCTGTGGCAAACACCATAGCAGAGCTATGACTGCAGAAAATATAGTTTGCAATTTGTAAACTTCTAGAAAGGAATGAAAGGGCTCTAGAAAAGGGGCTGGAAATGAATTAGCCTACAGAAGTCTCATTTAGGACTCAACTCCATTATCTGTAAGCTTGCCTGATTGGGCCAGTAGTTTTTCTGCTTTTTTACTGGCCTGCCACAAAAAAATTATTAAAATAAAATTATTAATAAATGTAAATTATTTCAGGAAATTAAATGCATATTTGTTTTATATATACTGTATAATGGTAATGTTATTTACATTTATAATGGTACTTTTAATATATATTTTAAAGTTATTTAAAAAAATATTTGTTATACATTTTCCAAACATATTAATGCAACTTTTTTTTACATTAAATGTTTAGGGTTTTTTTAAACAAAGAAAATTAGCAATAAGTTATTTGCAATTAATAAGAAGTAAAATTTCCAATAATAAGTTATACAATTATTTAAAATGATAACATCCATACAATTTTCAACCCATTCTTACTGACTTAAATCAGTTGCATATGTCATGTTATGTAAATGTAACTTACGTTTTTTTAATAAAGAACAATTGCAATAATAGCTAGAAATTACAAAGTTATATAAAAAATTTGGGCATACACCAATGTTCAAAGGTTTAGAGTCCGTGAGATTTTTAAATATTATTGAGATAAGTCTCTTATGTTCACCAAGGCTGCATTTATTTAATCAAAAATACAGTAAAAACAGTAATATAATGAAACATTATTACAATTTAAAATAACTGTTTTCTATGTGAATATCTATTAAAATGTAATTTATTTCTGTGATGCACTGCTGAATTTTCAGCATCATTCCTCCAGTCTTCAGTGTCACATGATCTTCTGAAATCATTCTAATATGCTGATTAAGAAACATTTCTGATTATTATCAATGTTGACGGTTGTGCTGCTGAATATTTTTGTGGAAATGGTGATACATTTTATTTTTCAGGATTATTTGATGAATAGAAGGTTCTAAAGTACAGTGTTTACAAAAAATATATATTTTTTGTAACATTATAAATGTCTTTACTGTCACTTTTGATCAATTTAAAGCATCCTTGCTGAATTGAGTACTGATTTCTCACCAGCCCATCTCAGTCAGCTCAGTCTCTCTAAGCCTAAAGCAGCAGGTGGACTCATGTGCCTGTCTCCTCTCAGGTGATCATCGCTCTGTCGGGTCACCTGAGTGCGGTGGAGTCTGAGAAGCAGAAGCTGCGTGCTCAGGTGCGTCGGCTCTGTCAGGAGAACCAGTGGCTGCGGGACGAGCTGGCCAGCACTCAACACAAGCTGCAGAAGAGTGAGCAGAGCGTGGCCCAGCTGGAGGAGGAGAAGAAACACCTGGAGTTCATGAACCAGATCCGGAAGCTGGACGAGGACGCCTCGCCCTCCGAGGAGAAGGCCGGAGAGAAGGAGAAGGACAATCTGGACGATCTGTTTCCAAACGATGACGACCAGGGACCAGGTGAGAGAGAGCCATGCCCTTAAACCTGTGAAGCCTGACATATGAAACAACGGTTTGAAATGGAACAATTTATTCAACATTTCGACAAATTCTTAAAAAAAAAAAAAAAAAAAAAAAAAAAAAAAAAAGGGCATATGTGTTTTTGTTGTGCATCATATTTGATTCATCAGGATTTTATGGCTGGTATAGTATCATATGTGACTCTGGACCACAAAGATTTTCATTGATGTATGGTTTGTTAGGATAGGACAATATTTGACCGAGATACAACTATTTGAAAATCTGGAATCTGAGAGTGCAAAAAAAAAAAAATGTATATATATACTGTAAAAATCATCTTTAAAGTTGTCCAAATGAAGTTCTTAGCAATGCATATTACTAATCAAAAATTAAGTTTTGATATATTTGCAGTAGGAAATTTACAAAATATCTTCATGGAACATGATCTTTACTTGATATCCTAATGATTTTTGGCATAAATGAAAAATCGATAATTTTGACCCATACAATGTATTTTTGGCTATTGCTACAAATATACCCCAGCGACTTAAGACTGCTTTTGTGCTCCAGGGTCACATATAGTGAAAATATATAGGAAAAAACAGCTTAGACCCAATAATATGCAATTTGGTGCAGATGCTGATATGTATAAGGACAAAAAAGAAATTCAGATCCTTGTAATGTAACTCAGTGAGGCCTTTATAACAGTATAGCAGATATTTACATAAATTAATATCAGTCGTCATCTCCCAATTATATGTTTTATTTAGATTATATTTAAATGCTTAGTTTTATTATCAAAGCTTTGTAGTTTCAAAACACCTAAAGCAATGATGATTGAGAGATGAACACCTAAACCTATGGATCGTGTTTGATATTTAGATTTTTTATCATTTTAACATGATTCTGAAATGTGGATTTTTTTTATAATTTAAAATAAAACCGTTTCGTAACTTAAAGAACATTAAAACGTGATTATTTTAATAAGCAAACAGTGTTTGTAACATGTTTTATGTATTCATGTTTTTAAACGTTTATTACATACATGCACAAACGCACACATTTATATGATTTAAATTAAATTAAAGCTTCATTTATTACAAAAACAACTCTTGATTTTATTGTTTTATCTTGTTACTGAATGTAATAACTCAAAATGATTTCTGGATAATCAGGTAAATGCTGCTTCAGTCCAGTAAGTGTTCATCTTGAAGTATTACCAGCAAAATAGTTATTCTTGGGTTTGCTTTATAAAAATCAGATTTGACGGCATACAGACACGTGAAGCATGAGCTGAATGTGGACGTTTGGACAATTAGACTAAACGCCTTTTACTTGCTAAAAAATGATCAATCAGAAGGCGTGGAGTAGATTGTGTGCTTTGATCATGTTGATCATTTCGAGGCTTTAACAATGCATGCATCAGATATAATGCAGTGGGCTCTGTAGGGTTAAGCTCTGATTTGTGACGCGTGTCTCCAGCTCAGCCCAGCGGTGAAGCGGCGGCGCAGCAGGGGGGCTACGAGATCCCGGCCCGTCTGCGAACGCTTCATAACCTGGTGATCCAGTACGCGTCTCAGGGCCGCTACGAGGTGGCCGTGCCGCTCTGCAAACAGGCTCTGGAGGACCTGGAGAAAACCTCCGGACACGACCACCCAGACGTGGCCACCATGCTCAACATCCTCGCCCTGGTCTACAGGTCAGAGGTCACCGCGGCCTGCTTTTCTGCGTTTCAAAATATTAGTGATGCACTGAAATCACCCTTTAATTGAAACCAAAAACCAAACATGAAGTTTATTTAATAATCAATTATGTAATCAAATTTATTTAATAAAAACTATGTATTTTGAACATTTTAATTGCACTTAAGGCAAGTTTTTAATTGACTTTTTAAAGATATGTTCGTTTAAACTTCATGAAGTTGAATATTTACATTTATTTTTATATCTAAAGTCATGGTAGAAATTGCCTTTTTTGATTTTATTTTTATTTAATCTTAATCTTTATTAAATCTTACTAACATTATAATTTCAGGAAACTTTATATTTTTAATGATGTATTAATTTGTTGTTGGAGTATAAACAATTAAACGATGGATCATATTTGATACTCATGTTTTAACATGATTTTGAAATAGAAATATATATGTTATTTTTGTGTATAATTTAAACAAAACAGCTTTAATTGCACTTAAGGCAGTATTTTATATAAGCTTTTTAATAATATATTTGTTTAAAAAGTTGATCACTTCATTAAAAAGTGGAATCTATTTAGATTTATCTAAATACAGGAATAAAATCTAAAATCGTGGTAGAAATTATGACAGATTTTAAAAAAAAGAATCCTACTAATATTATAAGTTCACCTCAGGAAACTGTTTTTTTAATTCAACATTTTAATCAAATTTAAATACATTGTTGAAATATAAACAAGAATTTTAATTGCACTTAAGGCAAGTTTTTAATTGACTTTTTAAAGATATGTTCGTTTAAACTTCATGAAGTTGAATATTTACATTTATTTTTATATCTAAAGTCATGGTAGAAATTGCCTTTTTTGATTTTATTTTTATTTAATCTTAATCTTTATTAAATCTTACTAACATTATAATTTCAGGAAACTTTATATTTTTAATGATGTATTAATTTGTTGTTGGAGTATAAACAATTAAACGATGGATCATATTTGATACTCATGTTTTAACATGATTTTGAAATAGAAATATATATGTTATTTTTGTGTATAATTTAAACAAAACAGCTTTAATTGCACTTAAGGCAGTATTTTATATAAGCTTTTTAATAATATATTTGTTTAAAAAGTTGATCACTTCATTAAAAAGTGGAATCTATTTAGATTTATCTAAATACAGGAATAAAATCTAAAATCGTGGTAGAAATTATGACAGATTTAAAAAAAAAGAATCCTACTAATATTATAAGTTCACCTCAGGAAACTGTTTTTTTAATTCAACATTTTAATCAAATTTAAATACATTGTTGAAATATAAACAAGTATCAAAAGTATATTTGATACTTGATACTCAAGTATCAAGTATCAAATATTTGATACTCATTTTTTTAACATGATTTTAAAAATATATATGTAATTAAATCAGTTTTAATTGAAGATGAGGCCATTTTTATATCAACTATTTTAACGATATATTCAATTTAAAAAGTTGATTAAACTTCATTAAAAAGTTGAGCATATTTAGACTTATATAAATACAGGAAAAAATCTAAAATAATGTTAGAAAATGGCCTTTTATTTCTAAATTCTGACAGTATTTATGTAATCCTACTAACATTAGGAAACTTTATGATTTAAAAAAAATATTTTTATTCAACTTTTTAATCAAATATAAATGTTGAAATATAAACAATTAAACGATGGATCATATTTGATACTCATGTGTTAACATGATTTTGAAATACATATATAATTTAAATAAATCAGATTTAATTGCACAAGGCATTTTTCATATCAACTTTTTTAATGATATATTCAGTAAAAAAAATTTGAATATATTTACATTTATAATAATATAGAAATATGGTAGAAAATGTCCTTTTATTTAAAAATTATGACCATTTTGTTGTAAAACATAATTTACATAATTTGACATCTTGAGACTGTTTCATATCAAAGCATTAAGTTTATTGCAATTTATAGGCTTGCAGTTGAGTTACAAATAATGTGAAGTTTTGTTCATGCATCAACTGAAAACAGCATAGCCTGAAAAAAATCTTGGTGCGTCAAAAAAGAAATCAATTTAAAAGCAACAAACCGACCGTCTGCACAGCTGACACGTTCACTTGTTGTAGTTTACATAAAACAGACACTGACGCATTCAAACCACGCTAAACATCCCTGTTTCAGTCAATGACTTCGGCCCTCCGAAATCTGCTGAAATGGTGCTGCATCACTAGGAAATGTGTGTGTTGCCACTCCAACCCGATTCCCGCGTGTTGTTCCAGGGATCAGAATAAGTATAAAGAGGCGGCTCACCTGCTGAACGACGCTCTGGCCATCAGAGAGAAGACTCTGGGGAAAGATCACCCCGCCGTGGCCGCGACCCTCAACAACCTGGCCGTGCTGTACGGCAAACGCGGGAAACACAAGGAGGCCGAGCCGCTCTGCAAGAGAGCGCTGGAGATCCGGGAGAAGGTGGAGAACCTTCACCTGTCACAACGATGATTTCCGTTGAAATCATGATGCTGTAGTGTATCTAGGGTTGCAAAGGGGCGGAAAATTTCCAAAAATCCCTGGAATATTCCAAATAATAATGGAAAGTTTCCAAAATTTCTGCAATGTGTCCGAAATTTACTGGAAATTTTCCACCTTTTTGCAACCCTAATTGTAGCCATACATACATACTGGTAGAAAAATGTATAGCCTGAATGCACTGTAAGTCGCTTTGGATAAATGCATAAATGTAAATGTAGCCAGTGTTGTTATATGAATATATGTGCGCATGTGTATTTGCAGGTTCTGGGTAAGTTCCACCCTGACGTGGCGAAGCAGCTCAATAATCTGGCCCTGCTGTGTCAGAATCAGGGCAAGTATGAGGAAGTGGAGTATTATTACCGCAGGGCGCTGGAGATCTACGAGAACAAACTGGGCGCCGATGACCCCAACGTGGCCAAGACCAAAAACAACCTGGTGAGGCCAGATCACCTCAACTAGAACTGACACGGCTGTATTTTAACCCTTGTGCTGTGCTGGAAATCCTTTACCTAATTTGGTGTTTAAAAATGTAATGGTGTGTTCACACCAGAAGCGAATATGCGCATCGCGTCACTCGCTCTAGATTACTCGCGGGATGTTTTTCGTGTCACTTGTGCGAATAAAAACACAGCATCAACCATGGTGGAGATAACTACAATTATGCTGTTTTGTACCCGTTGTCAAAACGTACCAAATATGATGGAAAGCCAAACGGCGAAGCTCCTCGCTGATTGGCTTGCGAATTTTCCGCGCGAGTTGAAATTTTTGAACTTGCGCCGAAGACGCGATTGAGGCGAATATCGTGCGTTCGCGGCAAACGCGTCGTGCATTTTGCGTCGCCCGTCGTGAATTTGCCTCTATTCGCGTCTTTGCGTTGTCTTTGTATGTAATCTACTCGTGCGAATAATTACATTCGCATCTGGTGTGAACACACTGCAAGAACTGCTTGTAAGTCTCTCATTGTGCGATATTATCACCAAAAATTGGATTGTCTAGTTTTCTTTCAGTTAGCACAGGTTTTGTACTTCTTTTTGGATCTGATTGGTCATAGGCCTCATTGATCTGAGCTGCACCTGGAAAATTTTTTGGAATTTGTGGACCATTTTTAGCAATATTCACTCAAAAACTGAGGTGCATAAACTCAGAAATACAAAACCTGTGCTAATTAAAAGAAAACAAGTTGATGATAAAATGATTAAATCCAATATTTGGTAATATAGCATAAACATTTACAAGCATTCTCACCACCGGTGTAACAAGGTGGGAGGAAAAAATCCCCCCCCAAAAAAGTACAATTATATTTTTGGTAGTTTTTAAATCCTGTGTGAGAAAAGAAAATTCTCTTCAGGTCAAAATGCCCGAAATACAACACGACGGTTAAAGGGGTCATTAATTACATTTTTTTTACTTATAATGTTAGTAGGATTTTTACATCAAAAACATAGAAGCCATTTTCTATCTTGATTTTATTTCTGTATTTATATAAATATTTATTTCTGAATATTTCTGATATAAATATTTCTGTACTTATATGAACTGTTTAAAGCAATGACAACAGTTCATTAAACAAGCAATAAATAAAATGTATCTAATCCTGTTTTTCTTTTATACAACAATTTGTTCCTCCTGCGTGTGTGTGTGTGTGTGTGTGTGTGTGTGTGTGTGTATGTGTATATATATATATATATATATAATTATTATTTTATTTTTTTAATCGGAAGTTTTCATATTTTATTTCTTTATTTGACCAATTGTCTTTTTCCTTATTTCGTTATTATTTAATAAGCGTGGTCATTTTCTACCTTGATTTTAGTCCTCTGATTTAAACACTCATAGCCTAAAGGGGCGTGTCTCTCTGAACACTTGTAAACACCCACTGCTGTGATTGGCTAACAGCTCTGCATATGAAATAAGTATTACATGTGGAACTGCCATGATTAACTAATCATAAAACGTGTTGATTATAGCATTGTTTTTAGACCTACTCGCATCGCATCAAAGGTTGCGTCGCTGAGTATTGTATCCGATCGCAGTCATGTGATCTTTTGAGCTTGTGAATGCAGTGATCCTGACATTGCAGTGTGATTTCTGCATGCTTTAAAGGGGTCATATGATGCTGTTTTAAAGATCGTTATTTTGTGTATTTGGTGTAACCGAATATGTTGACATGCTTTAATGTTCAAAAAACACATTATTTTTCAAATACTGTATATTATTGTAAGTCCTCTATGCCCCGCCTCTCTCAAACGCGTCGTTTTCAACAAAGCCCCCTCCTTTGACAAGCGCAGTCTGCTCTGATTGGCCAGCTGACCCAGTGCATTGTGATTGGCCGAACACCACAAGCACGCGTCGGAAATGTAACGCCCCTTACCATAATCGCGAGCTTCATCTTTCAAAGTAAATATCAAGACCGTTAATGTCATTAGTTTTATCATCAGTTCAAGCCTGAAAATGCAACATAGTTGCGTGACAGACACAGTGATGATGATTGGCCAGCTAACCCAGTGCATTGTGATTGGCCGAACACCACAAGCACGCGTCGGAAATGTAACGCCCCTTACCATAATCGCGAGCTTCATCTTTCAAAGTAAATATCAAGACCGTTAATAATGTCATTAGTTTTATCATCAGTTCAAGCCTGAAAATGCAACAGAGTTGCGTGACAGACACAGTGATGATGCAGTACACAAGCCGCGGTTAAGACAGCTGACGTGCTATGATTTCTGACAGACAGTTCACTCTCCTGTGATGTGACCCTGTTCCCCTCACAAACAAACACTCACACACACACACACTCTCTCACACACACACACAC